GGGGGGGGCCCGCCAGCTGTGGGCACAGGGTAACCCCGGCCGAGACCCGGCTCTGAAGGGGCGCGCTCCGTTACGTGCGGTTAGTGCTCGTGCTGAGGGAAAGAACACAAACGAACGCGCCCCACCAAAGAACACTCCCCAGGGCACGGCACCTCCGGCGCACACAAGAAGGAAGAGATGCAGCATATGGGCTAGAAATGTTTGATCCTTCTGGTCTTGCACCTGGTGCCTGTGAGTCAACTGGTTTGGACCGTGTCCCACCAGCTCAGGCTTGGAACCAGACGCCTGCACCCTGAGCTGCTCAGGAGCTGTCCTTGCCCCTGGGGGACAACGCACAGCACAGCCAACGGCCAGAGACAGCCCCCAGCAGTGCTGGAGCAAAGCACGAATAGGAGACAAAACCAGGCCCCATCAACAAAGCGAAGGAAAAGTGGAATTTCTTACCGGTGTTTTACCTAAGCTCGCAACTTAAATGTTTTCTCCATCTCTCTTGTGACTGAGGAACACAGAAAAAAAAGATTTCATTGCACCTCTGAACAACGGCAGGGTTTGAATGGCTGCACAGCCAAACTAAGGGAGGGACCTGCATGGTCGACAGTACAGCATTAGAGCACGTCCCATGAACATGCTAATAAGCATCTCTCATGTTAATTTGCTCCCTACAGAGGAAGAAGTTAAGAATCAAAATGCTTGTGAACGTGAGCAAGGACGTACAGTCATTTGAACATTTCTTAAGGGCTGTATTTTAGCATACATACTTTGGATGTTAGAAAAAGAGGAGCTGAAACCAAGATAAACCATCCACAACATCTCACTATATTCTTACTCTCATTCATGTTTTTATTAACCATACTAATTATTTCAGCCACATGTATTCAGGTATTTTCTAAGCTTAAGGCTACCACAAGCACAGAAACTGATGCAAATTCTTATTTTTAATACACTTCATAGTCAACGTGAATCCAGTTATCATGGTCCACAGTTTACTAAATAAGGTCAATAGTCGGTTCCTCACTCTGCCCCATGAATGTATTTCAGTACACGTCTTGAGCAATGTTTGTTCTGACCACAAACACTTAACAAATTTGAAATGCTTTGCCCTGTTATTTGAAAGGGTGAATTAAAATCCGTCTCCTTATGGGGGCAAATAGATGACTTGTGCCAAGAAACTGCCATCAAGTCTGAGCACTGAGTAAAACCAATCTCCTCATGGTGTTTTGATGTGTGCTGGAGCCTGAAACACTCATGATCAATGGTTCTCTTACAACACCTCAGGTTTTACTGTTTAAAACAACTGCAAGTGAATGTGGTGCTGTACCACCTATAGTGGTACCCTGCAGTGGACCCGGTGGACAATTTAACAGGTAAAGCAAAAGCTGTGTGCACAAGCAAAGCAAAACAAGGAATTAATTCACCACTTCCCATGGGCAGGCAGGTGTTCAGCCATCTCCAGGAAAGCCGGGCTCCAGCACACCTAATGGTTACTTCAAACAACAAACATCATCACTCTGAACATCCCCTCCTTTCCTTTTTCTCCCACCTTTGTACGCTGATGATGATGCCTTATGGTTTGGGATATCCCTTGGGTCAGTCAGCATCAGCTGTCCTGGCTGTGTCCCCTCCCAGCTTCTTGTGCACCCCCAGCTACTCACTGGTGGGGTGAGAAGCAGAAAAGCCTTGACACTGTGTAAGCACTGCTCAGCAGTAACTAAAACATCCCTGTGTTATCAACACTGCTTCCAGCACAGCTCTGAAGCAGAGCCCTGTACCAGCTACTGTGAAGAAAATTAACTCAATCCCTGCCAAACAAAAGAAGCTGTATTTTGGCAAGAAGGAACAGTAGCTGCTCAGGAGCTTTTTCAGCCCCGGCATTTCAGACTCACCTCGGCACTCCTCTCAAGGCTCTAAGTAAACCAACTGGAAGCAGTGCCTGTCAAATCCTCCCTGATCCAAGAGTATAAAATCTGCACAGAATAACATCTGCATAGTAAGTATTTTCTTCTAAGGACAAAAACCAGCTACACATCGTATTCAGGAAACAGACTGATGTGGAAAATTCACAAGTCTGCTAGAACTGCAGCTGAAAGAGCGTAGTTGAAATGGTCACAATTTGGATAGAACCCCTAACAAAACAGAGCCACTCAAGCCCAGTGCTTCAGGTTGTCACAGTAATACAAATGCTAATGTGTATGTATATATAGACAATACAATTCTGTATTACATTCCTCCACTACCCAAATCAACAGGTGCTGAACTTCAAAACACAGTGTCACACCTCATATCATTACAGCACTTGTAAGCTCGCCAGGATGGTTCCTTTTTTGAGAATCTTTAATCACACCAGTGTTCCTGAGAAACAGGCCAATGTCAACAGAGTACAAACTAAAATAATAGCTCAAGAAAAATGTAAATTGTCATGCAAATAACAATGGTTTTTATTTAGAATGTGCTTTACAGCCACACTATGAGATTACTAACTGTAGTAGGATGGAAGAAGTAAGTCATAGTCATTGATAGGGCAATTTATCACAGGATTAATTTACTGCTACACTACAATAAAACGCTATAGGTTTATAATTTTTCCACTTACCTTGTTTGGTCAGCCCAAACAAATGTTTCCAAATAGTCTGAAAATACTCAGTGTATATTACTTAAAGTTAAAAAGAACATTCTGCACTACATAAAATCTACCTCTACGCTTTCAGGTCTGCCAAATTAGATGCCAGAGTATCTAAATTCACTGTCTTAGTTTCAGATATGCCAAACACTATGAATAATGAGAAAAGAGGAAAGCAGATAACCACAACCATAAAACACACAACTGTTTCAGCCTTGGTGGAGAAAAGAAAGATAAGAAGTCAACAGGTGTTGACTATACAGAGCTACTGAAGTTGTTTCAAAACTCACTGTCCAGATTCAGTAGACATTTCCAGACAAACATTTCATTTAGTTATGAGTAACTTTAAATCAAGTCCCAAAAGCATGTTTTAATATTCAACCCACCAACATTTCACAGAAAGCAAAAATATGACTTTGTATCAAAATTATATAAAATATATACACTCATATTTGTTATAATACTATACTTTCAAGAAAATATCCAATCTCTTACCAATTCTGTAGGTGTTCTGGGTGAAACAGAAAAATATCCATGTAACAGCGTATTAAGAGAACTAAGATTCCTTCTGATGCCCTTAAAAGGCACCTCTGTCAAAAGTACCTTTTTTATTTTTTTTTTAAGATTCTGGTGTTGTTCCTTGAATCAGGTGTCGAATCTTCTCAGCATCTTTTTCTATAGTTCTATTTTTAGGATCAATCTTGAGAGCTGCTTCATAATCCTGGAGACCTAATACAGATACGTTAATAAGAATGTCAAATAACACAAGAGCATCCTCTTTAGCAACTAACCAGAAATAAGTGCTCCCTAGTCATACACAGAAATGACACCAAGTTTAACTTTTGTCAGTAAATAAATTTATATTTTGTTTATATTATTTTCAAAACATTTTAGTGGAAACATTCTACTACATAAACATTTTCAGGTACTGAAACACGAAAACAGAGCCTCTTCATTCACATATATACATACATATATATATACACACATGTGTGCATGAGGGGAGTGTTCAAAAGTCTTCTGCAGAAGAGAGAAAAAATGCATGACAGATGGAAAGTGCATGAAAACAAGAAATAAAAGACATAAGACTGTGAATACTAGAGCTTGGGCAAGGGTAAAGCAAACCCTAAGTACAGGAAGTAAAACAGAGGTTTCCAAGTGCAAATGAAGCTGTAAGGGAATGACAAAGTGATTCATAGGTAGAAAAAAGTAACTAGCGGGAAAAGGTTAGTATTTCACTCCTGACATTTGGAATATTCTTCACTTTCTACTTTCTATCAACTTCTACTTTTTGTAACTTTTTGCCTTACAAAACTAAACTGATACTCTTAGAGAGCACAGCAAGGACACTTAGTTCAGGTATTTTCACACAAATCACACACACTTGATGAAATATTTTGCTGACCAATACAGGTTCCAAGCATCATTTTACTGAGGCATGTTACTAAGCACTTCACAAGCAAATATTTTAGAAATACTTTGGGTTATTTTGAGTTAATTTGTTCTATAGTTGGAAATACTGTAAATCAAATCTCAAAACCAACAAAGCATTGCTTCATGAATAGCAAAATTAAAGCAAGCTAGTTTCATATCAGTTTGCATCCCACATTTCACTGCCTCCCAGTGCAAATATCTCATCTCTGACCTCTCATTCATTTTTCACTAATACCTTCCACAGCCACCAAGCTGCTATGGTCAATAGTTGGCCATTATGCACAGAAAGACTGACCCAAGAGACCAGACAGAGGATACACAACTCCCTAAACTCCTCAATGCAAAAACTAGTTTGTTCTCATTTGTACTGTAATTAGGAGTACAATCAATTTTCTTAAAACTTGTAAAGATTTTTCAAGTGGAACTGCAATTAGCCAGTATATATTTTTTAATAAATTAAAAACATAAGGAATGTGGTATAAAGGTTCATAATGAAGAGACCTACATTGTATGGGCCTCCTTTCACGACTCCCCTGAAAAAAATAAAGGTGTGAGCAGCTTCACTAAGCTAAACAAAATTACTTACATGTCATTACAAATTCACGTGCATGTTTATACAAAATCAAGGTCTTACCTTCAGTATATAATTCCAGCTGACAAAACGCTGTTCCCCGTCTCACGTAGGCTTTTACTCGAGCATTCTCATTATCAGGAACAGGTGGTGTCAACAGCTCTAGTGCCTTTACAAATGAAAACACACAAAATATTTAGAGGTAGATTTTCTGTAAGTTTGTTTTTTCTCATTTACACACACTTCTCTCACCTAATTACTATGATTATGCAGTAACATAATAACTATTCAAATAGAAAATAACTATTCAGATGTAACTACGCGGCTTGCGAATCCAGTCATTAAGATCTGTATCTATTACGCCACAGTTTGCAAAACAGAGTTTCATTGCCATGGCTAAAAATTGACAAATACTGTGTTAAATGTTTATTACAGTCAAATAATGTATTCTATTTTCATACACGATATTACATACCCAGGAAAAAAAAAAAGCAGCTCTAAAAAAGCTGCCTTTTTTGTTGTAGTAGTAGTTAGTAGGAAAGAAAAAATCACGTTTCAAGCCTCAAGTAGTTCAAAATTATTTAAAAATCAATAATTTAAAAAAATAGTAATTCTGGGAAAACTTTCTCCAAACTATTCAAATGCTATTTAAGATCACTCCTTTCTCATTGCACAAATAATGGCTGCTAAAATACCAAGATAATGCAGCCCTTCTTTAAAAACAGCTGGTTTGTTTGGGGGTTCTTTTAGGTATCCTCCTCCTCACCACCACCTTTTTTATGTTCTTCCCACAAAACGAAGAACACCACAACATAATACAAAAGGTATCTCTCTATATTTTCATCTTTTTCTGCTCAAAGTTGTCTTTTCTTTTTAAGTGTATATACTGCTAAAATATTTTACCTGTAAAGGAACATGTATTGAGTCAATGTAGGACCATTCTTCCCCAGTGTTTGGAAGCATGGTTTGGGGTTTTGAAACGCAATTATCACAGTAATAAATCACAACCATGTATAAGATGACAGTCTGAGAACCTATATATTTATACCTTAGAGGAATCTTCGATAGCTTTATGTAGATTTCTCAGTTTAAGGTGGCAGGCAGCACGATTCAGGTATAGTAGGGGAAGCTTATTGTTTATCCGCACTGCGAGGTTATAGGCATTTACAGCTGCAAGATAGTTTCCCATTGCAAACATTTTGCTAAGTATAAAACAAAAAGTGAAACATACCCTTTAAACAAGGTGACAAATCACAAAATAAATACCTACTTATTGTTACAATCCATTTTCAAAAACTTGAAGTTTGAGCAGCTTTTCCTTGGAAATGGGCGTTTATAGCCTTTTCTGAGAACAACATCGCTGCAAGTTCAGTCAAATGTGATGCTGACAATATAGCATATAGACACACAAAGTCATTGCGTGGGGACAGTGGAAGAACAGTAAGAAGTACAGTAAGAGGTGGACACATCTAGGCAGAGGCAGGACTGATCTTGAAAGCCATGTATCTGATTATCAGACCTTGCACATCCAACCAAATATATGCATCGTGTGTTCACAATGATTTTGTCGATCACGAGCTGCAGCAATTGCATCTCATGACTTTATCAGATTCAAACTCCATAAGCTGTCAATAAACCATCTACTTACGTAGACATTCACCACCTGTGCCTAGGATAAATATAAAATATCAAAACTAAATAATAGACACAAACTATATAACTAATTTAAACATATCTTCAAATCTAACTCACTTTCCTTTGTCCTTTAACCAATCTGGATTCTTCTCCTCTTCTTTTAAATCTTCCAGCTCAGACAAATCAGCACTTATTGTTCTTCGAGCTTCTGCTTGTTTACGTAGCCACTGTAAATATACAACGTGCAAGTAGTTTCTGAAGCAAAATCCAAATCCAAAAGAGAATTTTGCTTTCATCTCCTAACTCACTCCTATCAAAAGAATTCTATTTGCCATATAGTTTGGACAGAGACAAATCTTTTATAATGTCAGATGTGAAAAACTTCTGATATTCCCTAAATATTTTATTACCATGTAAAAAGCAACATTACTGCACCACTAATACGTTTTTGTTTGCTTGTTTGTTTTGGAAATTCCGAAATGACTCTTTGTGTTCACTCAAAAGAGCATAAAAGAGCTAACTGTGAGCGTCTTTTTAAGAAGACAGAACTTGAAGAATCTTAAGCATAAGAGTTAAGACATTTCAAATTTTGTACTTCAAGGAATTAAATTAATGCTGCTGTCTTTTCTTTTCTCCCCCTCCCAAACAAGGGAACATGCTATTTATTAATCTGCACAATCACATGATTGGTGAACATATTTTTTATATAAAAGTGTTTCTTGAAATCTTAATTTAAATAAAACTGTCTTCCTTGGAAGATAAGAATATTGGCCCGGGTATCACCTTTGTCACCTTGCTGAACATATGATAAATAATTCACCATGGAAGACAGTAGAAACATCGTACTAAACCAGAGGGCAATCCTTACCTCCTCCTCTTCTGCAACGCGAGATTCCCGCAGAGCTGTCGGAAAAACTCGTGATGTAAAGTTGACTTTAATTGTAGCAGCAGTTCGAGGAGCTGGTAACTGCTCCTCCTTTAAGTTCTCTGAAAACATACTATTGGAACCATGACCTGCGAAAAGAATTGGAGTACTGGAAATGAAAATTGGAGCAAAAGAGGTTTCTCTGGTTTTCTACCAAAGTCCGAAGCACACCTAATTCAGAAATTTTGAGCACTAAAACCAAACCTGCAATAGCTTGAGAAAGGTTTAGACTTGTTCTTTTGAAGGGAAGGTTCAAAAAATGTTTGTTCTTGCCATGTCATGCCTTCTATTTACTGGCCACATTATCTGTCACAAATGAACTTAAACTCCTCTTACACCACTATCTCTGTCACTTGCATGATTCTATGACAGGGCAACTGCAAGAGCTAAAACTAACCTTACCAAAACAACCAAAAATTAAATACTTTCTGTTGTTTTAATTCCCCTGAATTGGGTCTCTGTGGGGCCAAGATGTGGGATAGAGAGAGTGAAAGGAGATTGCATGTTTCTATGAAAACCAGCAGTTAGGTTACTCCGAGTAACATGAATTCCACCCTCCAAAAGCCTGCATTACACTGCCAGAAAGGCTTTCTGGTTTACTTTTCTAAAGCTTAGAAGAAAATCTGCCCTTGTATTCCCAAAGGCTTAAACAAGAGCTAAGAACTCACATGCTTTAGCTCAATAAATTACCTGAAAATAAAGACACTAAAATAACTGCAAACTAAGAGGACTAGATCAGTATGGTGGAGACAAAGATTAATGGTGAATCAGAAACACCTAGGAATAAAGTTATACCCACACTTCAAAGAATGACAAAATACACTTTGGTATGACAACCTTTAGTAGGTTTGAGTCTGGTTTCAGAAGTTCCTTCATTATGAATCCCAGTTTTGTTCATTTTTTCCTTTTTCCTCTCCTTTAATTGCTCTACTTCTTGATGCAGTTCCCCTCTCTTTTGTACCCTCTTTTGTTTCTCAGCATCTTCTTGCTGTTTTTTCCATAACTCCAACTCCTTTGTGACCTTCTGTCTCTCCTTTTCCTTCAGATCTTCAATTCTTTTTCTTTCTGCTTCTTCTAGCTGTTTGAATGATAAACCTGAGATATGTAACATCTGCTAGTAATAAGATGACCAAGTAAAAGTTACCATTATTTTCCCAGTTTCATATCCTAAGCATAGCATCATCATTAAGATGACTGTACAAGCAGCATTATGGAAGACAATTATTTGGAGAGCAAATACTTTCGATTAGTTTTTAAAAGTTGTATCTTAACTGTTACTACTGCTACTAAGGTATGTCCCAGAAACATTCAGAAATAAGTTCTACTTGTAAGCAGTGAAAATCCTAGCTATAGTCCAAGGCAGATCTCTGGAATATACAGAAATATAAAGAATATATGGCTTAATTTTAATACACTATTTCTTATTTCTGCTCTTTATTACATAGGCAGAATAGGTACAACCTTGCTACTAAGAAAGTCACTAACTGCAGTTCATTTTGGTCCAAATTGCACGTGCAATCTTAAAATTTCACTGTATATTTTAAAAAGATCCTTTTAACCACAAATGAAGTGACCAGACTTTTTATGCACATTAAACTTTTGAAGACTGTATCTTAAAATGCACATAAAACACAGAACACTAAAGATACACAACACAAAAGGCAATGAACAGCAAGTCTGATATAAAATGTAACAACGAATAAGTAAGACTTAAAAAAACAGCCAGTATTTTTGATAGTGCTAAATGACTTAGCACTTATGCTTATGCAAAGGCCACAAAACATCACAGTTTTGCCACATGACTGCAGTCTCCTTCCACTGACAAAAATCTGAGCTCCTCACCAAAAATTTTCATTAGCATTACTAATGGAAAATTGCAACTTCTAAGTATTTTTTTCTATATCATTTTCGTATTTGCTAACAGATGTATTCTAAATACAGAGAAATAACCAGGTTTTTACAGTGGTTACAGTATTACAGAGGTTCACCACCACTGTAACAAAAATGAGTACCTCTCATCTTTTTTAAGGTACAGTTAACCAAGTAGCTGCCAGACTGGTAACTGGTTCCATGTATGTGTCTTGCAGATTCCCTTCTAAGCTTACCTTCATTGTGGCCTCCAAAGCATATTTTTTGTGTTCCTGTTTTGTAACTTTTTTTGCTTCTGTCTCCTCTTTTGCCTTTTCATGGGCTTTCAGAACCGCTTTCTCTCTTAGATACTGCAGTTTCTCCTTGTTATCTTAAAAACAAATAACTATTTTAATAATTTAGGCCTGAAGTTCTACTGTCATGTACCGTGTCCATAAACCCAGGATTCCTTTTGCCACTTTGTCTGGGAAAACACAACATGGTTCAAATTCCACAAAGCAGTAAATTCTACAAGAAACACTGTTTTGTTTTGTGCACACTACCCCCAGTAGATGTTCTTTTTCTGTTTTCATATACTTTCTATTTTTAACAACGAGCAAGGTTTAACTCAGCAGGTATCTAGCAGCAGAAGTTTTACATTGGTTATTACGGTTTGTAAAGCCTTGGCACGGTTTGGGTTTCTTACACACAATCTGCTGTTCACAGTAGAGAACTTACCATTTTCTATAGTCAGGGAATCCCACATGGCCTCTTCTTTTTTATACAAAGTGAAGAAAATGATTCCATTTCCAATCTTTGCTGTGCTATTTGTTTCATCAATAGGAGCATATAAAATGGCTTCAAATAAAAAGGGAGGGATGCTTACCTATAAAAGCATAATTAATTTGTACTGATATTTACATTTTTAAATTAAATCTCACATATTCAGAATACTGAGTATGAGCACACAGTAAACCTCAAGAAACACATGATATTGACATAACTACTTTACTTAGTATCCAGTATGGAGGCTATACATTTGATGAGAACAAGTAAAAAAGATTGAAAAAGCTGGTTCTTCTGCAACAGAAGATTTCAAGTCTACAATTATTATTCCTAATATAAGCAGATGTGTATAACTCAGGCCATTTATGAGTGAAAAGGCAGCTGGTGCCTACTGAGTAGCAAGAGCATTAGTACAGAGAAGAACAATCAGTGGTAAAGCCATTCTCTCTAGCAGGTAGATATTTAACCGCCTGCAGCAAAAAGGACATTACAGATTAACTATTAAAAACGTTATAAACTTGACAGCGCTGCCGTGGTGCTTTTTAACAGCGCTGTGAAGTAACACCAAGGCACAGGCCCACGGGCGCAACCCATCGCAAGCAGCAGTACTTCACGAC